TTGGCCAGCTGCTTCCAGCCAATAGGAGCTGAGGATTGGGCTGGGGACCAGGAGATCACATGAAGCCTCCCCCTCCCTGCAGAGCAGAGAGCCACATGGACTGCACTTTAAATCGCAGCTGCTGCGTAAGTGTCTTGTCATGGTGCTCTCAGGGTCAGATCCGGTGGCTTGTTGGGTCGAATCCAGCCCATGGGCCATATTTTGCCCAGCCCTGGGTTAGCTTTTCACATCTGTGTTAAGCAAATCACCTTGTCACAAAGCATCCCGTAGCTTTAGTATTACTAGTATAAATTAAACTGTTAAATTCTACACATTGAAAGGTTTTTTATAAACTCTAAAAAGCTTAAAAACATAGAAAATAATTTGCCTTTCATGGAGGATGATTTTTGGCACTTGGAATGGGATAGTATTGTTTTGTTCTTCAGTCTGTTCTTCAGATAAAGACTGAACTTTATTTATCTTTGCAGGTCTCAGTCTTTACCACAGATAAAAACCAGTAGATTTTTCTTCTTCTCCAGAGATGATGAAAGATTAAAAGGTACACCTGAACTTAATCCAGTTTTTCCTACAGGCTGATGGAATTTGAGATATTGTAACAAAATTAGTATACTACTTAATTCATGAGGTGGTGTAAGGATTAAGCAATTAAGCAAAATGTTTCAGTGTCTTGTAAATGTAAAGTGCTGTGGTAAAAGCTGCATATTGAGAACGATTGAGACACTTTGGGCTCTACAACAAATTAGCAGCTTGAGGATTAATTGCAGAGCTCTCCCACTTACCCAAGCCTTGTTGGAGAAAGTCACTTAAGTTTGCTTTTTTTGGCAGGATTGCTTAGTGTGGAGTTTACATTGTCTTCAGATATGTTTGGGTTTTTTGAATGTATGGTTAATGCATCTACAGAGTTTAAACTGCTAGAAGCAAGGTTTTAGGTCAATCAGTCTAGAAGAACAGACACAAGACCATATTTCTACTGGTTTGTTACTAAAATGTGAGCTAAAACAATGTATTATATATTCCAATTAGCCTATCCTGGCAACTTTTCACACACACATTCAAATTAATTTATAATGTTGCTCCAGTTTTTTCAAACTAAAGCTTGCAAGAAAGAAAACTATTAAGGTGTGTTTATCCTGGCTTAAAGTTGTTGTGATGAATCTTTTGTGTAGATGGTCCTAAGCTATTCTGCAGATCATCAAACCTCAATGAAGAAAAAGATCATTGGGAAAACAGATGTAGATTGTTACTTGAGGTGAGTGATTAAAGTTTCAATTCAGTAACCATTGAAAGAGTTCATTGTGACGGAGGGGGGATTTGCTTTTGAAAATTAGCTTATTTTATTCATTTTAATAATATTTAATAATTTGGGCTTTCAGAATAAGCTAATATCCTACCAAGACCATGGAATTTTATAAAATAAAAACTAACTTGCCTCTATATAATATATACAATTTGTATTTTGATGTCCTATCACTTAAACTCTTGATACCTGCCAAAGCTGGCTAACTTAAGACCTGGGGGAATTCTGCAATACAGGCAGTCCCCGGGTTACGTACAAGATAGGGACTGTAGGTTTGTTCTTAAGTTGAATTTGTATGTAAGTCGGAACCGGTACATATTGTAGGGGAAAGTCTAGCCAAACATTTCTCCAGAGCTCAGTTTTCTTCTCCCACACCTCACTTCCCTCAGTCCTTTATTCTCAAGCTGAGGTGTCTGCTGAGAAAAGCCGCTCTGCGTCTCCCTGGTCTGCTGGGGGGTGGGGGGTGCTAGCTTCGCGTCTCCTTGGTCTGCTGGGGGGAAGCAGCTAGTGTGGGGTTGCCTCACCCCGTTTGTAAGTAGGGATCCGATGTAAGTCGGATCCATGTAACCCGGGGACTGCCTGTAGTTGCATTTGGAGACATGATACAATTGCAGAAATCTCCAGGACTATAAATATAAAAGTGAAGGAGGTTTAAAAGAGAAATTTGTGAGGTTTCCTAACTGCATTTAATGCCATTTAACATTGTGATATAACAGAAGGATGCAAGAAGAAAAGTTAAAACAAAGCAATATGTATGAAAGAGTTAGCCAGCAATGGTTCTTGATAAACACGTATTGAATTACAACAAAATAGAAATGTCTGGCTTCAAACTTGTGATCTTTCAAAGGTATAACAAGAAAAAATATTGCATCTGCACTGGAAATAAACTGTCAGAAACAGGTCTGTAAATATGCTCACTTTTTATTTGTGCAGTTGGATTTTTTAATTGTTATGGTACCTGTTGATAATTTCTGCAAGAGGCTGAGAATCTGCAACTGTGCCTGAAGTGGACAGGAGTTGAAACCATTCAACTCTTAACACAGAAACTCTCAGCAACTTGTGGGATTGGCATTCTGAAGTGAGCAAGATACAGGACCTTTAAGGTTTTATTTTGCAGATATTCACAATACTTACTGTAATTACCAAAGTAAAAAAATACTGCACAAGAAGTTCATGAAATTGTGTACATAACTGAAAAGATTTATAAAATGTGTACAAACTCTAATACTTTACACAAAACTTACCTTTCCATTATAAAATGTTTGAGACATGAATAAAACTTTGACAACTTTTAGTAGGATTGTGTGTTTGCTCTTGAATTATGATATATCACATAGTAATTTATATTCATACCATTATATAGAACATAAACTTTTTAAGATTAGCAGCTGCCTTTGAAGAATTTCAAATTACAATCAGGAATCTGATTTAATTAAGTGAAAATTGTGACACAGAGCATCCTTGTGCTCTGACTAGAGACAAATGATTTGATGTCAATTCCTAGCCTCTTCCTCAACTGATAGAAAAGGTGAATGTCTGTGGCCTCTTTAACAGTGGCAATGATAGACTAAAGGGAGACCGAAACCAGCTCATTCTGGCTGAAATGTTAGAGGCCAAGGAACAATCTGGCACTGGTTGAGTTAAAGCAGTAAAAATCGGACACATGCTCAGGTATGCCAAGGAACCCAAGCAGAGGCAAAGATACAATATTTCTCTTCTCAAAATCTGAATTCAGTGACCTCCTAGGCTGTGTCTAGACTGGCAAGTTTTTCCGCAAAATCATCTGCTTTTGCGGAAAAACTTGCCAGCTGTCTACACTGGCCGCTTGAATTTCTGCAAAAGCACTGACGATCTCATGTAAGATTGTCAGTGCTTTTGCGGAAATACTATGTTGCTCCCATTCGGGCAAAAGTCTTAGTGTAGACAGCAGAGATGATTTTTTTCCACAAAAAAGCCCTGATCGTGAAAATGGCGATCGGGGCTTTTTTGCGGAAAAGCGCATCTAGATTGGCCACGGACGCTTTTCCGCAAAAAGTGCTTTTGCGGAAAAGCATCCTGCCAATCTAGATGTGCTTTTCCGAAAATGCTTTAATGGAAAACTTTTCCGTTGAAAGCATTTCCGGAAAATCATGCCAGTGTAGACGTAGCCCTACTGTGTGTGAGGTTGTAGTCGAAGGAAGAGTTTTGTTTGTTTTTCCAGTAAAGAAATAGCTATATCCTACTGCTAGATTTAAGTCACTTGACATACAAATCTCTAGTTCTAATTTCATCTTCTAGCCTTCACTAGAATTATGCATTCTGAAAGGAAGCAATATGGCCACCTTTTTCCCCTACTCCCCAAAAAACCAAGATACTTACAAACCTGTTAGGTAGAAGGTGGGATACTGTTTCAGCATGGTATAACATGAGCTGCTCTGAGGACTGAATCATGGCTCATAGTTACATGAGAATAAGGCATCTGAGTAGGTTCCCTGCCTACTCTCAGAAATAAGCAAAATGTTTTTCTCTGACTTGATCTGAGTTTCTTCAAACAGTTAAATACACCCAGTTGTATAAACAAATCTTGTCTTATCCCCTTGTCCACTCCAGAACCTATCACACTTCCCTGCCTTCCTAATGCTGGAGCCAGCTCCATCCCTGGGTAACAGCTGCCTAGATGTTCCTAGGGTGGGGCTCAAACTCCCCACCCTGCATTCCCCAGGAAACCACCCTATCACATAGGCCACTCCAGATCCCACCCAGCTCCCTACTTTCAGCAGCCCTCCCCCCCAATCCTATGTTGCTAATGCAGGTGCCAGCACCAACCCTGGCACAGCTGTCTGGTCACTCCCACAGTGGGAGCAGGGAGACTTGACCCCACCACCCTGTGCTCCCCACACAAATACCCTATCCCCTACAGTACCTCTCACCTCCCTACCTTCAGGGTGTCCCTTGATCTTCCTTCCTAATGTAGGAGCCAGCTCTATCTATGGGGCAACTGGTGTTGGCTGCCTGGCCACTGTCTGAGTGGGCTGAAGGGGGTGGGACTCCAGCCCCCCACCCCTGTGCTTCAGAGGCTGATACCCTTATCCTAATGTGGGAGCCAGCTCTCTATGCCTAGGGCAGTCTGTGTTGGCTGTCTGGTCACTCCCAGGTTTGGTGGGTGTAGGGGAGAGTGGGACTTGAGCTGCTGTGGGGAGGGGACTGGATTTGTACCCACCACCCTGGGCTCCCCAGGCAATTGTCCAATCCAGAACCCCTCACCTCCCAGGAGTCCCTTAATCTGCCTTCCTAATGCAGGAACCAGCTTGATCCATGGGGCAATTGTTGATGGCTGCCTGGCTGGGCGGAGGGGAGTTGTGATTGGTGCTCCCTAGGGAAATGCCTGATCTCCTAGGCCACTCCAGAACCCACCCCTCCTCCCTACTTTCAGGGTGTCCCTTATCCTGCCTCCCTAAAGGGTGCCAGTTCCATCCCTGGGGCAACTGGTGTTGGATGCCTGGCTGCTTCCTGCATGAGTGGAGTGGTGGCCTGGGGTGGGGGTGTGGACTGGAGTCCACCACCCTGTGCTTCAGAGGCTGATTCCATAGCCTCATGGCCATTCAAGAGCCTGCGCCTCCTCCCCCCCCCCTTTCTTCAGGGCATCCCTTATCCTGCCTTCCTAAAGCAGTTGGGCTTTGAAGGGGGCACAGTTTAGGAGTAGGGAGTGCAAGAAGGGAGCAGGGGTTAGTGTAAGGGGAGTGCGGGACGTGGGTACAGGGCTTGGGGAGTCTTTGGCGAAATAGGGAGGCACAATGCCCACAAAATACAAGTTCTCCAATGGTGCCATTTTCAACAAAGGCAGGGCCTGTGTTTGAACTACCATAGCCTCATCTCCACTAGGATTTTAATGCAAACTATCTTCTTTTTTCTTGTATATACTTGGTCTTTAGGGGCAGGAGAAATGCTGAGAATGTCAATGTAAAGGAGAGAACTGGGGGAAATCTAGATACCTATTAAAAGAAAAAAATGCATTTGTGGAATTACCCAAAATCTACTACCTCAGTTCAGCCCCTTGAGATATTCTGTAGGGATATGAAGTGAGTGGGGAAGGGGCCAGTTTCTTTTCAGAGGATGCAGTCACACAAGGGCAAGTATGTTTCATGTTAGTTTCACACAACCTTTTAAAATGTGCCTACCAAAAATGCTGGCCCAGAGACACAACTCCACTTCCCAAACTTTCCAGCCTTCTTTGTGACAGCACCAGCTAATTAAACACAAACTGCACTTTGGAAGAAAAGGGAGAATTGATTTGTTGCTTCCCCCTGCCAGAAGGAGGTTTGGCTAGAAGAGAGGCTGCTTGAAAGGGGAATGTCTGTGTTTTCTGAACTTCCTTCCCTTCTGAGTGGCTGGTGTGTGAACTCCCCTCCTTTGCCTGGGTTCTGCAGTTGCAGCTCTTGGCCTGGCTGTGTGCCAGTGCAAGCACCTCCCTTTCCCCACGCCCCCTGATCAGCCAATCAGGTGCTCAGAAGTAACTGCCTTAGAACCCAGTTTTACTCATGCAGTGCCCCCCTGTTTATTATCTTTCAGACATTGCCAGGTACTTAAGCAACTCATCAGGCTTGTTCAGTGAAGGAACCCAATAATGTTAAATCTTAGTGTTAAATCAACTTTAGATGAATTCTGAGGTTCTTATTTAAGACCAGCCCAGACTGTAGGGCAATAGAATCTGACTTTGTACAATATTTTACATCCAAACAATTTAACTTTGCACAATAGGTAGGAAAAGCAACAGAATGCAAT